TGAGTCTGAAGAGGGACTTATGGACCAGTACCAGACTTATGGACTTGATCTAGACCGGCCTGGGATGTTTGCATGATATACAATTACTTCTTGAGAGAAAGCGCTGTCTTGTACATATGAGCCTCTTGGAATTTGTTTCTCTAGTCAACCCGGCCTAACACAGCTGGTTACTTCTCAGTGGCATGACAGCCTGTGAACATCCTTAATAAGCACATTCATCATGAATTCTGCCTGTTCTGTGGAGCCACCACGATGGATACTAGAACCCGGAGAGATCCAGTGGAGAAGTAAAGTGGAGATGATTAGTTAAGACTACACACCCTAACCCCCCCATCACCCTTCAAAGAAGAGGAAGATCGTCAAGGAGACGGGTGGACACAGAGGCTGCCACACGGGCTCAGAGATAAGGACCATTGTGAGGATGGCACAGGAGCAGGCGGGGCTTTGTTCTGCTGTGAATGGGGTCACCGAGTCAGAATGGATGCCGTGGTACCTCACCCCAACAGTAGCCAATCCTACTCGAGAATGGGGGTCTCTGCAATGTTAGCCATGCTGCCCTCTAGTCCATGCCGACTCACACTGACCCTACAGGACAGAGTAGCACTGCCTGGAGGGTTTCAGATGTCTGGGTGTTGGTTGGGCTCTTAAGCACAAGGTCGGCAGTTCAAAACCAGCGGTCGTCCCTCAGGAGAAAGATGAGGCTTCCTACTCCCGTAAGGATTTACAGTCTCTGGCATCCACAGGGCTAGTTTTGCTCTGTCCTATAGGGTTGCTTTGAGTTGGAATCAACTCAATGGCAGTGAGTTTGGCTTTTGAGATTTGGGGACACATGTCCCAATGGACTGTGGTGACAGGCTAAGACGTGGACAAACTATGCACTCGAATATTACCTAATCCTGATCACCACCCCTTCCCACCAACACGCTCAAGTCAAACAACAGCAAACGATGAACTCATGGTCTTCAAGTCCGAGCGGCTCATAGCGCACCGATAGGACAGGGTAGAACTGCCCCTGTGGGTTTCCGAGACGGTAACTCTTTACGGGGAGTAGAAAGCTTCGTCTTTCTCCCGAAGAACAACTGGTGGTTTTGAACTGCTGACCTTGCAATTAGCAGCCCAATGTGGAACCATCAGGCCACCAGGGCTCCTCGATCACACATAGGAAACAGTCACTAAGACGGCAAGTCTTTGCTTGCTGAACGGGAACCCCAGAGAGACAAATATTTTACACCATCTCGTCTCCAGGATGTGCCGTCTCATTACCCCCCAGCCCCCCAACTCAGAATCTGTCCCTGGCATGCTGTCCTTCTTTTTACAAAGGTCCCCAGGTCCCCACCCTTACATGACCACATTCTACAAGGTGGGGGTGGGGGAAGGGCCTCTCAAGAGCCCCAGAGTCGGACTGTAAGTGGGACGGATGCACCATGGGCTCTGAGTTAGGCCAACTGCCTTTGAGTTTCAAAAAGGGCATGTGAAGCACCGAAAAAGATGGGTGCCACTTGGAAGTCGCCAAGGAACAGGGCCGAGATGCTGAGAGAGACTGAGCTGTGCTCAGAGCTTAGAGAGAGAGAGAGCACAAGGGGTGGGGAAGGAGGAAGGGAGGGAAGGGAATCGAATGGAAAGTATATGAGTGAGCCTTCCTCCAGAGCTAGTGCCCTGAATATGAACCTCCCACCTCCTACAGAACAACAAAAAACCAAATCTCTGTTCATGACAGACACGCCCCTGTGGCACTTCTGTGACAGCAGCGCTAGAGAATTAAGATGTCAAACAGACGCAGAGCCAGGCAGAGTCCCAGACGCCACCCGCCAGCCCCTGGATCCCACAAACGGGAGTCGAGAAAGTCGTGGCTCACGGAGCTGGCTCCTCTCCCCATCCTTTGCCCATCTCCGCAGACCAGCAGCTGACAAAAGC